GCTTTTTAAAATAATAAGGTGAAGCCCTTGTGATCTCCAGCCTCTGTAGCTGGAAGAGCAGGCAACTGGATATGCTTATGGATTTGTTTAAATCAAAGGTCATTGATTTTTTTCCCCACATTTAGCAACATGCTATAACCTGAAACACATATGACAAACTGGTGCTAATTATAATTCCCCAAGACACAATTATTAATGCCATAATCTCAAATACTGAAACCCCAAAAGATCCAATACCTTAAAGTCTAAAATACTGAAAATTGCAATCCTGAAATATTAAAATCTTGAATTTTGAAACCCTAAAGTTAAAATCCTCAAAGTACAATTTTCACTGTGAAAATGGCTATAAAAAAGGGATAGAAAACTAAATTCTAGGGAAAAGGATTAATGTACTTTCAGTTATATGCAAATTAATTGCATCATCTTAGGTGGGATATAATGTGAAAGAAAAACTAATTATTATTGATTCTGCAATAACAGAAAATCACTTAACTGTAGCAGCTGAGCAATAACTAGACTTTTAAGTGGTTGACACATGCTTTCAAAATCTGTAGTCCACGATCATTCTTCCAGTACAAATACATGACTACATTAAAGATTATGCAAGTGAATACAGAGATGAAAAATTCTTACTGTAAATTAGTATCTTTATATGTCTATTGATGCCATGTATTTTCTTTTTTTTTCTTTTTATTGAGTTTATTGGTACATTCTAGGTATACAGTACAGTTACATTCATTACTGGGATCTTGTACCTTTACATGACAGGTCTTGGTTCTCATTTTTTCCCCTCGTCCTTGCCCTCTCTTCACCCCCCCTCCACTCCCCATTTACAAACTCTTTATTTCCATTTTTTCATTTTCTCATATTTTTTTCTTTTCCCTTATTCCCTTTCCCCTACCCTTCCCACTTTTCCTACATCTTTAGCCCTTTTTTTTCCTATTTCACATTGTTAATTATCTCATTATCATGTATTTTCATTTGATGTTTTGTGTTGGTGTTTTTCCCTTTAAAAAAGCCCTCAAGCATGGTGCTAACCTTCTATGTTGTGTTCCTCAGCACAAGATTCTATGATATGCCTTAGAAGAGAATAGATGTGTTAGATAAGCATTGTTCAGGCAGGAGTTGTAATGATGTTGGCTGTGAGTTCAAGGTTTATGAATCAACACTATATATTAAATAAGGTTGCTTTACACAGAACCACATATAAAATGAAGTTATGTTTGTTTGATTGATGAAAAAGTGAACATAAAGCTTGCAAGAACCCAAACTTGTATTTCTCACGAGCAATGGTTTAGTGTTGGCTCTGTGTTGTGGCAACATTTTAGAACATAACTACTGCAAATAATAAAAACAACTATATTTGGAGATTTATATTCCTACAAACAATGCAGGAGAGTTTCCAATGAGGCATTTCTTGAAAACACTTATCAATGTTGGTTTTTTAAAAATTGCCTTTCTGGTAGATGTTCAATAATATTCTATTATTTTGTATTTGTGTTTTTCTCCTTATTCATTATGTCTCCTCAAGTATCGTACTGATCTACATTTCCCAGCCTACCCAGGCCTCTGCCTTTCTATTTTTTGGAGGGAAGACAGTGTCTTGCTAAGTTAATAAATTATCTAGGCTGGGCTTGCAGTTCTGATCTTCTTGCCTTAGCCTCCTAGAGTGCTGGGATTACAGGTGTGTACCACCACACCTCGCTTGAATATTATTTTTTTTGAATTGCTCACTTGAAGTCTTTGGCACCTTTTCAATGAATAGCATTTTTGTTGATTTTTAGAAGTTCTAAATATTATAATCTGAATAGTAGAGCTTTGTCAGTTATATGTGTGCTAGATACCTTTTCTTTTTTATTTTTTGGTACAGGGGATCAAACTCAGGACCTTGCACCTGTGAGGCAGGTGGTAGAACTACTGAGCTAAATCCCAGCCCCTTAGATACCTTTTCTTTGTGGGTTTTTTTATTTTTTATTTTCTTTAAGATTGATCTTGATAAGTAGAGAGTAATTTACAGTACTATTCAATGTATTAAAATTCATTTATATTGTAATTATGTTAATTCTTTTTATATTTTAAGAAATCCTCTTCTACCAAAAAATAATGAAGATAGTTTCCTGTGTCTTTACTTTTCATATTTAGATTTAATTCATGGATAAGGTATAAGATAGTGGTCAAGGACCCCGGCCCAAACAGGTAGTCAGTTGACCTAGCATGATTTACTGAAAAGTCCATTTCTCCCACTCTTTTACATTGCTACCTTCATCAGAGAATAAGCATCCATGTGCCTAGATGAGTGAATCTGCATTTGCCTTGCAAATATAAGCTCCTGAGTTCAATCCCCGGTATCAAAAAAAAAAAAAAGAGAGAGAGAGAGAGAGTGAAACTAGAATCATTTATAGGTAAATGGATGCAAATTGAGGCCATACTCTTAAGTGAAATAAATAGGACACACATGTAAACACCTAATAGTCCCCGGTATAAAAAAAAAAAAAAAAGAGAGAGAGAGAGAGTGAAACTAGAATCATTTATAGGTAAATGGATGCAAATTGAGGCCATACTCTTAAGTGAAATAAATAGGACACACATGTAAACACCTAATAGTTTCTCTGGTGTGAAACCACTTTTCAGAATTGAAAGCCATTATTATAATCCCTGCTAACAAAAATAATATCTTAGGCCTTGTTTAACTCAGTAAAAATTTTACTGCGGACATCGGACAGATTAAACCTTGAATCATTCTGGAACCCTTGCTGTAGGATGTCTTAGAAATACAATTTTTAGTTTTTTCCCCTTGAAATTTAGAATGCATATTTGAAGGAGATTAGACTAAAAGTTGAGCAAGTATTTTTAGCATGAAGTAGTGCCACATTTCTAATAAGATTAAAGCAATCTATATACCTGGCAGCAGTGTATAAGTGTTTGTGGTTGTATATTATTGCCTGTTTGATTTTTCTTGGGCTTTTGTTTTTGAAAAGCTACTTTATTATCATTTTAATTTGGATTTTCATGATCAATAATGAAGGTGAGTATGTCTTCATATATATTTGGGCCATTCATATTTCCTTTTTCAGATAAACCTGTTTATGACTTCTGTACATTTGTTGTTCTTGATTTTTGTTACTCTTTGGAATTCTCTATGAATTCTGGACAATGATTCATTGTTGGAAATATATATTTTTTTCCCTGAAAAATTAGAGTGACTATTTGGAATCTTTGTTCCTTTGCATTTCTGTAAAGGTTTTAGACATATTTATTTTTCCGTGAAAACCTTGTGGAATTCTGATTTCATTTATTCTACAAATTAAAACTAGTGACAATATTGGTTTTCAAATCCAGGAATATTGAATATTCTGCCATTTATTTGTCTTTTTTTTTTTTTTTTTTGAGACAAGGTCTCACTATGTAGTGCCTTTGAATTCACTTTGTAGCCCAGGCTGGCCTTAAATTTGAAGTGATCCTTCTACCTCAGCCTATGGAGTGCTGATATTACAGGTGTATGCCACCATACTCAGCTAATTAGGTCTTCTTTAGTATTCCTCAATAAAATTTGTAATTTTCTATATAATAGTCTTGTATAACATGAAAGATTTATTCTTGGTCATATATTTGATGTGACTATAATTGAAGTGATATATTTTATAATTCTTTGTAATTTGGGGTTGAAATAAAAATACAATTGCTTTTTTTTTGAATCAGCAGCCCTGTTACTAAATTTTCTCATTAATATCAGTCTAATTTAGACTATTATGGCTTTCTATGAACAAAATTATATTATCCAGCAGATAGGTTTTTTCTATCAGTAGTTTGAGTAAATATATATTAGACTTTTCCATAAAAGCCTCCATGTCTCTTAGTCTTTTTTATTTTTATTGTCCTCTTCTTGCTCTAAAAAAATGTTCTGACCTGTATTTCCATTCACTAATTCCTTTTTTTAGCTCTGTCTAATTGAATGTTTTAATAAATCCATTCATGTTTCTAACTTTATTTCCATTTTATAGAAATTACACTTGATTCCTTTTCGAATTCTGCAAATATTTTCAAGTATGAATTTCATCTCATTAAACAAACAAGAAGACATTTCATATTTTATGTTTGGTGATGCTTTTATTTGAAGTGTTAGTGGGTCTGTTGCTAATGTTTCTTTTTCTGCTAAGTCTCAATCATTTTTTTCTCTTATATGCTTTGTGGGTTTTGAAGGTAGGTTGCTTACATATATATGCGTATAAATTTGAGTGTATGTGTTTCTGAAACTTTTTCTGGGGTTAAGTATGAAGATGTATTCCTCTGAAGATTTATTTTTGCTTTTCTAAGATATTTGATAATAAGGAATACAATTTTACTGATCTATAGAACATTAACTACATTTATTGGGTGAGACAGTCTGCCTATTCCCGAAGAAAAATATAAGACTGCAAATTTTTCAAGCAAGATGCTGTTCTGTGTTTTGTGAGGACTGTTTATTAAGTTTTGAGGAAATAGGATTCTGTCCTTTCAAAGTGGGGAGGATAAATTATATAAGGATCCATGTGACAATAATGTGACAATTGTCTAGCTAGATATAGGGGTCATTTTTATCCTAGGCCCTGCCCCAAAATTATTATGATGTTTTGTTTTCAGTGAAGTTTCAGAAAAAATGTTTATATTCTTCTGGTGGAATCAAGAATACTCACTGCCTCACTGTCTCCCAGCTATTGCCTGAACACCCATGAACATTCTGTTAAAAATGAAAGAAATATAGGTAAGACATTATTTTAAGAGATTTGCAGCATCAAATGAAAATGGCTTTTCTTGTTTGGTCTGGAAAAAGGAATAATAAAACACCACTGCATTTTAGTGCTATTGTGCCATCTTTATTACAAAGTTCAACTAATATTTATTGAGTGCTTGCTAACATTTCACCATAGATTTATCACAAAAAAATTTAAACATGCATAGAAGTGGAAAAGCTTTTACTGTAAGTACTAGTAGGACTACTACTAAGATTTTACATATATGTTTTAAAATTGCCTCATTGGGACGGGAGTATATCTCAGTGGCAGAGTGCTTGCCTAACGTGTGAGGCCTTGGGTTTGATCACCAGCACTGAAAAAAATTGCTTTATTATCTATCAACTTGTCCGTCTCTTTCTTTCAATGAATCAACTTATTTTACACTTGATCTTAGCCAAAAGGCTTAGAAGTGATGAATCAACTTATTTTATTTGTGATGCATTTCAAAATAATTCACAGAGGCTAATACACAACATCCCTAAATATTTTATTCAGTAGTCATATCATTATTTTAAGTTTAAAATTTATTTATCTCTTTTTGAGATAAAGTTTATATTGTGTAACATTCACGTATCATAAATGTAACATTTAATCAGTTTTGATTAATGAATACACCCCAATCTGTGCCAAGATAAGAGCATTACCATCCTTTTAAAAGTTCCCTTAAGCCTCTCCTCAGGGTATTCTGAGTTTTCCCACATAGAGTAGTTTTGCCCTTTCAAGGATCTTGTATAAAAGGACTCATACTGTGTATTCTTTAAAAAAACTTTTTATTTTGTAGTAATTGTAGATTCTTGGTCCTTTTTACATGAGGATAAACCTCATATAAAAATTTAAAAATTGTTAAGTCAAACCACTGATGTCAGGGGCCATCTGTACTCTTTGTTTAGTTGTTTCCATTGTCATTCTGCACAACTCTAGCACATCACAAATAGGAAATTCACATTGATATAACCTATCTACCTTTGCTCATCTTAGCAGTTTAACACACAGTTGTGCGCGTGGGAGCGTGCACAAGCGTGTGTGTGTGTTTAGCACAGGAGTTTTATCGCATGTGTAGGCTCATTTGACCAGCACCATGGGCTAGATTCAGGAGAGTTCCATTACAAGGATCTTTTCTGCTCCTCTTTGATAGCCACAGCCACCTCCCTCCTTTACCTATAATCTGTGGTAGTCACCCATCTTTTCTCCATCTCTATAATTTTGCCATTTCAAGAAGTTTTGTAAAAGAAGTCATACACAATGTAATCTTTGTAGGATTGCCTTTTCTTGGCAAAATTCTCCCGAGATTCTTCCATCATATTGTGTGTGTCAACAGTTTTGTTTTGTTTACTACTGAGTAATGTTTCCTGAACGTTTGTACCACAATCTAATCAAATCAATCTTTGAATGACATTTTAGTTGTTTCCATTTTTTTTCACTATTATGAATAAAGCTCTCATACAGGTTTTTTTGTGAATGTATATTTTTATTTCTTTGGGATAAATGTCTGTGTTTACTCAATGAATCATATGGTAAGAAAATATTTAGCTTCATTTTTAATTGTGGTAAATGTATCTAATGTAAAATCTGACATTTTAATTATTTCTAAGTATTTAATATAATGACACTATTTACATTCACAATCTGAGTAACTATCACCAATAGCTATTTTCAAACTTCTTCATCACCCTAAGTAGAAACTTGTAAGCAACAATTATCTATTTTCCCTTCTCCTCAGCTGCCAGTATGCTCTAATCTACTTTCTGTCTTTATAAATTTGCCATTCCAGATTTTTGTAGAAGTGGAGTTATGTATTTGTTTTATAGTGCTAGTTTATTTCACTTAGCATATATTTTCAAGATTCACCCATTTTATAGTATGTATCAGAATGTCACTCCTTTTTAATGACCAAAATTCACTCTCATATATACATATGTGTGTGTGTAATATAATATTAATGTGATATGTATATTATATATATATATATATATATGTATGTATATCATTTTGTTAATTCATCTGCTGATGGCCATGTGGGCTTTTTCACCTGTTGACTGTTATGAATATTGTTCCAGTGAACATTGCATATATATATATTTGTTGAATTACTATTTTCAATTCTTTTAGATATATACTCAGGAGTGAAACTGCTGGGTCATACGGTAAGTCTATGTTAAATTTTTGAAGATTTTTTGTTTTTGAGACAAGATCTCACTATGTAGTTCAGGCTGGCCTTGAATTTTCTATGTAGTCCAGGTTGGCTGCTTTGAACTTGCAGTGATACTCCTGCCTCAGCCTGATTTTTGAAGATTTTTGTGTGAACATAGTTTTAATTTTCTAGAATAAACTTCCAGATGTGTAACTCTTTGACTTATAGTAGTCATTTGCTTAATTATATAAGAAACTACTATAGTGTTTTTCAAAGTGGATGTACTATTTTACAATCTCACCAGCAAGTACCAGTAATCTGTGTTTTGTGCATTCTTGCCAGCATATAATGTTACAATTTTTCAAGAAGGACATTATAATAGTCAAGATTCTAGAAATTCAAACAAAAACAGAATATTAAAAGCTATTAGAGAAAAGAAACAAATCACCTACAAAGGAAAGCCCATCAGAATCACAGCAGACCTTCTCAACAAAACCCTCAAGTCAAAGAGAGGTTAGAGTGAAGTATTCTAAGCCATAAAAGAAAACCTCCAACCCAGATTGGTGTACCCCACAAAACTATCTTTGAGAATTGATGGAGAAATAAGATGTTTCCATGACAAAGAACACCTGACCAGCACCTGATCATGACCACCAAACCAGCACTCCAAATGTTCTGAAGGTCATTCTAGAAAGAGAAATAAGGAATAAAACTTCATGAACTCCAACAGAATGAATCCACTGGACAAGGCAAGAAATTAAACAGTGGGGAAAAAAGGGAATCAACAATAGGAAAATAACTTGACAAGGATGTCAATATATGTCAGTTATAACCATCAATGTAAATGGTCTCAATTCACCAATCAAAAGCAACAGAGTGGCAGAATGGATCATGATGCAAGATCCAACAATATGCTGCATACAAGAAACACATTCAATTAAAATAGAAATTCATAGACTGAAATTCAAAGGATGGAAAAACAATACTAAATGTGACATTAACCTGGAAAAAGGCAGAGGCAGCTATTCTGTTTTCAGACAAAGTAGATTCAAACCAAGACTAATTAAAAGAAAGAAAGAAAGTCACTATATCCTTGTAGATGAAACAATCCAAAAGGAAGAGAACAATTATAAATATATATGCACCAAACACTACCTCATCCAACTGTATAAAACAAATAGTAATGGACATGAAAAATCAAATAGGCACTAATACAGTTGTAATGGGGAAATTCAATACCCCACTGTCACAAATAAACAGATCAAATACACACAAAAAATCAACAAATATCAGAACTGAACCAATCTTGTGAACAAATGGACTTAGCAGATGTCTGCAAAGTGTTCTATCCCACAACATTAGAATACACATTTTTCTCAGCTGCACAGGGATGTTCTCCATCAACAGAATGAAGAGACAACTCACAGCATAGAAAATTTTTTGCCAGCTGTTCCTCAAAGGACTAAGACATAAAAAAACAAAAAAAAAAAAAAAAAAAAAAAAAAAAAAAAAAAAAAATCAGAACACTCAAATTTAAAGACACAATTAAAAAATGGGCATCTGAAATGAGTGGACACTTCCCAGATGAAAAATTACACAGGGCAAATAAATATACAAAAAATATTCAATATCAGTTTACATTCAAGAGATACAAATTAAAACAATACTGAGATTTCATCTCACTACAGAAAGAATGACTGTTATCAAGAAATCAACCAATAACAAATTCTGGTAGGGCTGTGGAGAAAAAGGAACCCTTTTCCACAGTTGGTGGGAGGGTAGACTGGTTCAACCACTGTGGAAATTAGTGTGGAGGTCCTCAAAAAACTAAAACTAGAGTTTCTATTTGACCCAACTATTTCCCTTCTTGTTATTTTCATAAAAGAATTAAAAGCATCATGCCAGAACAATATATGGACATTCATGTTTGTAGTGGCACAGTTTGTCATAGCTAAATCTTAGAAATAGACTATATGGCCACCAACTGATTAATAGATGAAGATGTGTTTTTAAAATAAATATAATGGAATACTACTCTGCCACAAATAAGGATAAGTTTGAGACATATGTAGCTAAATGGATGCACCTTGAGACCATACTCTTAAGTGAGATAAATTGGACATATATCTCTAAACACTGCATTGCTTCTGTGGTGTGAGAAAGCAAAAGTGGAAATAAGAACCAAAATGTATAATAGATATTGGGAAATGGGAAGAAAATGTTCAAATGAGAGGGTGGAACAAGGAGGGGTGAGGGGGAAAGGAAAGAAAAGATAAAAAAAGAAGGAAAAAATACAAACAAAGCTTTTGTAAATAAGGAGAAGAGGGATTGAAGGGAGGGGAGTGGAATGAGAAATAAAGAAGAAGCAAGATATATCATTATTGGTACAAAATCTCTATGATTAATGTTACCATTATATACATCTAAAATGTACCGATAAATGTTTTGATAAAAACATGAACAAAAATTGTAAGAAAAAATAGAGTATTTCATTTTTTGAGGATTAAATAAATTAAACTTTAAAAAATTTTTAGTTTTACATGGTCATATTATAAAGAATTTATAAACAGCACTAAAATTTCCTTTTAAAATATATTTCTTTTACTTTCAGTAATTACTGTATTCTCTCCGATAGGACAACCATGAAACAGAAAATAGAGCTTGCAGAGAAATCAGAGTTCAATTGAACAATCTGTCCTTGTGGATCAAATTGCTCAATTGGTTCTTCAATTTCTATGGGTTTTGCTATTGTAGATACTATGTACCTTTATTGGTCACTTTCTCATCACTAGGACAACCTGCTTGATGCCCACTATTTAAAAGAGGAGAGGTTTATTTTGACTCATAGTTTTAAAGGTTTGAGTCCCGGACTGGTCAGATGTCTCTGGGGCAGAAACTGCAGGAAAGAAGGGCATAGCAGAGAAAATCTTCTCAACCCATGGAAGCCAGGAAGCAGAGAGAACAGAAGGGGCTGGGGACAAAACATATCCTGTTTAGGGTAAATATGAGTCCTCTGTGTAAAAATGGGTGCATCTTGACTCCATATGGTAAGTGCAATAAGTCAGACAGAAAAGGTAAAAATATTGCATGGATTCTCTTATATAAGTATAAATAATTCAAAGAGAAAGATGAAAGTAAGATAATAGGAAACAGGAGAACAGACTTTGTGGAGATGAGAATGAGAAGAGGAGGGGAAGGGGAAGAAAAACGGGCCAAGATGCGATATGTCCATGTTCGGATGCTCCATGATGAATACACCCTTTCGATCACACCCGCGGTGAGC